TTGGGGTTTCATTGTGTTTGACGGCGTATCAAAAATGACAACTTTGCATTAGCGTTTTTTAGGGCGTCTAAACGCGGGTTTTTAGTCCATCCCTGTTTGCTTATACTAAACATTTGACTTACTAAAATCGACCAAATAACAAAATATTTACTATAGGCCTTTTCCAATCTAGGTATTTCATATGGAAACTGCTGATCCCCAGCACTTGCACAATTATCCTGTATGAGCACTAGATGTACCGCGAAACGGCCACAAAAATTCTAGTTCAGCTGTTCTGTTGAACGCAGGCCGATGAAAAGGTGCACTGGCTACAAAGCAGATGCACATGAAGTGCCTGAATAACGGCACACCTTTAAGAATGTAGCTTTCTAAAATGCGAAAAGCGTGTTATTATTTCGAAAACTAGAATGTTGAGAATAGGAGCACCAAGCGCTCAAGAGAGAATAATCCATCCGGTGCTAAAAATCAAAATTTTGGATTCCTCAATATCTAGGGTCCTTTATCCTCCGAGTGATATACATTAGCATAAAATAGCTGCGAGTCCACAAGTGTTCAGTGCCACTCTCTAGAGACGACAGTGATGCACGACACCACACATGCCCAACAGAATAAGTCGAAGGTTTACTGAATTGCGAGTAGTCTGATGCTGCTGTATAAAATTCGCATTAAGAGTAACGCGAACGTTCGAATTTGTTTGCTGTTTGCCTTAGATTAGGTTAAGCCCCAGGCTAGAAGGAGTCCTCGTATTTATTCACAAGAAATTGAGCACTTCACAGACAATGACGTGTTAGCCAATGACATGCCTCAGCCTAGTTATATCACATAATTTCTTTTACACCTTACCTATACTGATCGCGGATGCGTGACCTCATGATCATGTTTTATTGGATTGTTTTAGATTGCGTACGACACCGAGTTCAAGTGTATTTCCAGCACTTCATCCGATAATGTTAAAGCTGCTGAATACCATCGTGAAAACCAAAAGCTAAACTGCATAGTAAACCAAGAAGACAGAAGCATTTCAGTGCGAAACTTCCTTGACGGTAGTGTGCGTTCGGATTGCATCGATGGAGTAGGAATTTTGAACCAACAGGGAGACGCTAAACCACGTACGGAGAAGGACGCGAAAGCCTTTTACGTCGCACAAATATTGAATGAGTACGTAAACCCTGATTAACAAGTGTACAATAGTTATCTTGATGTACAATGTCACGTGTGCGAATGACTTTGATCCGTTTGTTTCAGCCATGTGCGTATTGGTTACCACTCACACCAGCTAGCCAGTCATCTGACACACACCCCCGGTCTCGCGGCTCTAGTTTCCGTGAATCTTGTACCTTCTCAATTAATTGATAAACTTCCTGCTGTTCAGAACTCTTCTGCTTGCTGGATTACGTGTCTCGGAAGCATGCGTTCCTTGCTTAGCGGTACTAGTTTTTGTTTGATCTGTACAGTTAGTGTGCCTTTTTGCTTGATATGTCAGTCATGGTGAAATTTCCTTGGGGTAACCATCAGAACATTTCGGAAGTAAACAAGCGAGCGAATGAAATGTGCTGTCTGCTTGCGACGCAGTCAGATCTGACGGAGCTACAGTAAGGTATTAGGGACAGATAAGTATGCAGTGAAATTAACCCTAGACAAAAATCGATTTGGCCCACTGTTGGTTGTCTGACACTGTGCCTCGATAACTAGGATGAGGTTGCCAACGAGGCTAAAAGACGCGTTGTCACTCTGCCATGGAGCACGAAGCAAACTGAGATTTAAGCGAAAGGCGGAAGGGAAAATAAAAACCCGTCGGCCTTCAACATAATAACTGACACGAAGTTGCGCAGCAAGGCATTGTTGTATCATCAAGACTTCTGCTTGGAGTAGCCTGCACATAGCCGCCTCTCGGTTGAGATGTTATGAAAAAAATTGAGGTAGACTTATCAGTTGTGAAGCGACAAACAATTATAATATTCCCGGTGTTTAGGTGGTGTCGTGTTCAACTACTTTGCTTTGTTTTTGCCCTCGATTCGCTTGTCCTACTCACACTTCTACTTATCACTCGTTGGCTTATTATGTGATCTTGCATTTGATTGCTTGCAATGCAAAGCTCCATCGATTTAATTTTACTGCGAGTGTGTGCGGACAGTTTCATCCATATATTCGTTCCGGGCTGCCCGGGTTTTTGGCTTCTTCTGGATACAACAAATTGGCGTCGTGTGTTACCGATGTCTGCATGCAACTGCTCCTTCACCGTTCTGGACTTACTCGGCGTTTATCCCAAATACCGAATGCTGGGAAGACTAGAAAATTATTCTTTCAGATTATATTTCTGTGCTACCAGTTCTCAGTCCATCCGTGAGGTTGTAAACGGAGGATCCTTTAAAGCTTTTGCGTTTGCACCTTAGCTCAGATGGTCGACATATATTTGATGCTCTAAACTTGTGGGTGAAACCCACGTTGACAGAGGCCTTATCGACCCTCGATCAACATTGGGGTGTTCTAGTGAACACCTATACTTCTCGGTGCAAATTTTCGCAGCTGAAACAAGTTTCTGGTGATTCAGTGGATGCCTTCATTTCCCGTCTTGTTTGTTATGCTCGAAAGTGTGACAACAATAATATTTCTAATAAAAAAGTGGAATAAACCATGCTAATACAACAATTGATTTCTGGCCTCACGGATTCTCAGATCAGAGTGAGTCTCTTAATGGAGAACGCAGAAAAGCTCGCATTGGACAGGGCCTGTGACGTGGCTCGCAAGAAGGTCGCAGTCACGGAACAGAAGAAAAATTTCCCCTCTAACACTGGAGCTACTGAAATTAACCGTTTGGATTCTACACGCTCTCTGACGCGGTTCTCAGTTAGAAATAAGTGTTACCGTTGTGGAAATGCTGAAGCTCGTGCAAATGCTAAGTCATGTCCTGCAGAGAGTGAAAACTGCCGGAATTGCGGTAAGACAAGTCATTTTCCTCGGGTTCGTCGTTCCTGCGTTATTTCTTTAGTTGCTTCTGCAAATCACTCCAGAGCTTCTCTGGTCACCACTGAACAATCTATATAGGTTGTTAATGAATGCAAACATCCACTTTCGTCTCCAACGTAAGAACCCAAACTGACTTCGCCAGATATTCGTCGTGTGTTTTTTGAAGTTTTAAACAAAACATTTGTCTAGACATGGAACTAGATTCCGCGTCACTAATCACAGTTGTGCCATATTATTTTTAGTAAAAGCATTTTGGTCAGCTGACTGTACATCCTTCCACTTACGCTTTCAGCAGCTACTCCAATAGTGATGTCCACATACTCAGTTTTGTTACGAGTTCAATGTTTCTTATAAACAGCAGGAAGCGTATACTTGAAATTTACGTCTCTAAAACTGATGGTAACCCTCTATTCCGACGTAATGCCATGGTCTTATTGAACGTATCACCACGCGTCAACCGGATGACCATTCCCAGTGTCAACCTTCATTCGTTACGTTCCATTTACCCAAATCTCCTTGTTCCGGATATTGGTGGAGTCCCAAAAGCAATCCAGAGCATTCGGTTGAGCGCGGATTACAAACCGTTCAACATCTCTCAAACTAGGCCTGTACCTCTGGCCAAGCGAAAAGCGTTGTCGCAAGCTTTAAAAAATATGGTCACGGAAGACTTGATAGAACCCACACACTGTTCTGAATGGGTTCATCCACTAGTTGCCGTTCAAAAGAAAGATTGCTCTATTCGTGTATGCACCGACCTTCGAGCGATTACTCGACATATACTTATGGAAAAGTTTCGTCTGCCTTCTATCGACGAGTTGATGGTTAGGCTATCAAACTCCAAAGTTTACCCAAAGCTGGATATTCACAGTGCATACAACCACATGCTACTGACTCCAGATTGCCGAATTTGACTGCTTTCCTCAAGCAAGACGGTTTGTATCAATACAAAGTGCTAACAATGGGCCTTAGTAGTGCCCCGACAGCTTATCAGAAATTTATCACTCTATCGTTATCAGATCTCAAAGGATGTGTTGTGTATATGGATGATATTTGTGTCTTTCGTAGTAACCCCACTGAACATCAGAAAAACCTTCATAATGCGCTGCACAGACTGAATGAAGTAAATCTCCGCCTGAATACCAACCAATGCCAATTCGTTGTACCGGAGGTCGAGTTTATTGACATGTTATTTCTACCTCTAGTATTAAGCCTAATGTACAGGACATCAGAGCCATTCTCGATTGTCCAAAACCATGCAACGTTACACAGATGAAACAGTTCTTGGGTTTGTGTTCTTATTACCTTAGACATTTACGGAATTTTGCGACTTTTGTCGAGTCTTTACGGAGGTTGACGCGCCATAACCAGAAGTTTCGTTGGGCCACTGAACAAGACAATACTTACTTGACCATAGGAACGTTGATTGAATGCACTTCCACCGTAGCGATCTTCAATGGGCACTGTTCAACGTTTGTTTCAACGAATGCTTCAGATGTTGACTTGGGTGAAGTTCTGTCCCAGCTGCGCGATGGCGAGGAGAAAGTAAATGCGTACGCATCAAGTACCTTATCTGATACTGAAAGAAATTATTTCACCGGCAAGTAGGAGGCCGTCGCGTGCCTCTGGGATTGTGAGAAATATCAATTTTACTTAATCGGACGTCGATTCATTTTGAGCATTGATCATACGGCTCTTACAACGCTACTAGGTCGTGGTAACAAAGGCCAAAAGCCGGTACGCTTGAGTCGCTGGTACTCACGTTTATTGAACTATGATTATTAAATAAACTACATGCCAGGATGCTTTAAGCAACTTGCGGACGCCAAGTCAAGACTCCCACTGTCCAAGGAACAGGAAAACGAGGACGTGGAAGTAAAAATGATAGCGCAACTCTCAGACGGAACAACTGCGATAACATTTTACCTGATACGAGAGCACATTGAGAAAGACTCTGTCCTAGCGAAGCTTGGGGAGAACATACCCACTTCATGGCCCAGTCTTACTAAGATCCAAGTTGAGTTACTTCCATACTATACCCTACGGAACGAGCTTTCTACCGTGAGCAACTGCATTATTACAAGCGAGCAGTTTGTGGTCCCTGCAACCTTCCTTTCTCTGGTGGTTGCATGTGCGCGTGAAGGTCATCCAGGTGTAGTGCAAACAAAAGCTCGGATACGACAATACTATTGGTGGCCGAAGTTGAATTTCAGCCTCGAGGCGGTTATTCGGGAATGTTACGCCTGCCAACAATCCGATAAGATTGCGAGGCCCCTGAATGCTCCAGTCCAACCTATTGTGTACCCATTGAAGCCATGGGTAAAATTTGCCATTGATATTATGGGCCCGTTTGCTAATGCACCTCCGCATCAGTGAAATGTGCTAGGGGCTACATGTTTCTACAGCAAATGGCCAGAGGCTATTCCACGCGGGGAAGTAACTACAGCCGTCATTATAAAGTGGCTCCGTTGCTTGTTTGCAAGGGACGGTTTGTCAGAAGAAATAGTCACTGATAACGGCCCACAGTTTCGTAGTAACGAGTATGATGAATTCCTAATGCACAATGGTATCAGACACACGAGGACTGTACCTTATAATCCTGCAGGGACTGGACTCGTCGAACAACCTAATCGTACTCTGAAAGAATCTCTACAAGGCTTTCGGGAGAAGCCTGGGATGATGCGTTGTTGTCTGCATTGGAGGTATACAGGACGACTCTACATACTGCAACGGCAAGGACCCTCTCGGTGCTAATGCTGGGGCGAACAATTCGAACTCGATTTAAGGCAGCCTTTACATCTGAAGACATAGCCGATCACAGAGGATACGAAAGACGGGCTGTTTACCAGGCTAAATATAGACGCGTTGGGAAAGCGAATCCTCCAGGGACATTTGTTCGAGTGAGACGACCCAATTCCCGGAAAGGAGGTGACGTATTCGGACCGCCGACCCGGGTGGAATTTGTGTGCTCGCCAGGAACTTACAAGTTGGCTGATGGGACAAAGATGAGTGCAAGAAGGCTGCATACAGCGCTTTCACAGCGTGCTATTGTACAGAAGAACACACCTACAACACAGCGTTTGGTACAAAATAATACAAACTTATAACGATCCGGTCGGATACGCCGCCCTGCCTACTGATACGCTTTAACTGATAACACCACGTGACAATCCGTCGGGGTGATATCATCCAGGTAGTTTGTTAAGTGATTCC